TAGTTTGAAAGTTATATATTCATTGTATTCTCTTAATGGGTTATCCTTAAAATTTTAATATTCTTGCTTGACCTAACAAAATCTAAAAATAATCAATATCCCTATCTTCTTGCTGAATAATGCAGAGACTGTAGAATGCTTTAACTTTGATCTCTGCTTTCCGATTTTCCAGGCTACTTTGGTCTAATATTTGAGATCTTCATTGTTTATATCACCTCCTCCAAAGTAATCCCTTCAGCAATATATATTTATTAATACCTCTTGCCATGTGACAAGCAATGTTCTGAGCACTGGAAACAGCAGGGAATAAGACTAAATTAAATTTCAAGGTATTTTATGTTAGGTTGTATTATATGAAGTTGCCAGTACTGGATCAATTTTTAGTTGCAAAGAACTAATCTTATGGTTTGAGTATATGTATATTTACATAGATACACACGTTTATATAAATTCATATAAAATCATGAATGCATTTTCAATTTTCCTAACATTTACTAATTTCATTCCTTCCTTCTGCATTTATTTGTACCCCACTTCTCTCTGAGTTTCCTTTTGTTTTTAGTATTTGTGAGTAACCAATGATCTAGGTCCTTCTCTGAAGTTAACTTGTTACACTTGAATAATAATAATTCACTTGAGTATAATTCTCTTTTTTAAAAATATTTTTAATGTTTGTTTATTTTTGAGAGAGAGAGAGAGCCAAGAGACAGAGTGTGAGTGGGGGAGGGGCAGAGAGAGAGAGAAACACAGAATCCAAAGCAGGCTCCAGTCTCTGGGCTGTTAGCACAGAGCCCGATGTGGGGCTCGAACTCACGAACTTTGAGATCATGACCTGAGCCAAAGTCAAGATGCTCAACCGACTGGGCCACTCAGGCACCCCTTGAGTATAACTCTTGGTTGGCCCTTAATTTACCTTCAGTCTTTTGGAAGATACATTGCTGACAAATCAGCTGTCAGTTTGGCCATCTTCATTTACTCAACACCCAGATTATGTTGGCAATTCCTGGGTTAAAAAAATAACAACAAACCCAAATGGGTAACTCTCTTCTAAAAACTCAGTTGAGAATATCAGATACTAAGCAACAGAGAAACATGAAGAAAAAGGAAATGCAAACAGGTTCATGTGGAAATAATCTGGTTTAAAATATCTCATAGCTGGGTCCTTCTCATTTCTCCACATCTGGGGGTACAAAGTGTCAGGTTTTCTCACTATTTGGTGGTGCTCAGTTTGATCACTTGGTTAAAATGATCCACCAGATTTCTTCATTGTAAAAACACATCTTAGTAATTGGTAAGTCATCAGTCTGTGGGGTGATACTTTGAAGGCATGTGAGTGTCCCTTTGCCCAATAATTTTTCACATTATGGTTTTACCCGTCATTGATGATCCTTGCTTGAATCAAATATTATCTGCAAAACTCATAATTTTTTAAAAAGATTATATCCTCCCATCTTCATGTAGTAGCTGATTTCTTCTGTAAGCAAGAGCTTTTAGGAAATTTCTTTTCACATCCAGAGATGCAAGCCAAAAATGTTTAACCTGAATGTAATGGTAAGGAAACAGTCAGTCAAATCCAGAATATTTTACAAGATATCTCCCCTGGACTCTTTGAAAGAAGTGAATGTTAAGGGTTGGGGAGTACTTTCTAAATGAAAAAAAAAAAAAAAGATCATAGGGGCATAACAATCTGATATAATGCGTTGGATCATGAATTTAAAAAGAATAAAAAAAGGAAAAAATAGATACAAATGGCATTTTGGGAGAGTTGGGAAACTTTGAATATTTAGTATATGTTAGGTGATACTAAAGAATTATGTTAATTTTCATGGTGTTATAGTAGTATTGTGTTTATGTAAAATTGTCTTTATTCTTGGGGCACCAGGGTGGTTCAGTCAGTTAAGCGTTTGACTCTCGTGGTTCATGTATTCGAGCCCTGCATTGGGCTCTGTGCTGACAGCTCAGAGCCTGGAGCCTGCTTCAGATTCTGTGTCTCTTCTCTCTCTGCCTTTCCCCTGCTCGCTCTCTCTCTCTCTCGCTCTCTCTCAAAAATAAATATTTAAAAAATTTAAAAATAAGGATAACTTTTTTTTAAAAAAAGAACTGTCTTTACTCTTAGGAGATGTTTGCTGTCTACCATTATTTCAAATGGTTCTACACACAAAGCATATAACACATACACGTGTACAAAGACCATCAACCAACCCAAATGTTACAGAAACTAAAACGACAGGTTTTAGTGCATCAAATAGGGAAGCGCGAGTGTGTCTTGCATCCACCTATTGTATTACTGTAGATTTGGTCAGACAAACAGAAGCCACTCTATGTATTTCATGTACGAAAGGCTTTCATATAGAGAGTTAATTATAAAGCTGTTGGCAGTGCTGGAGGAGTGACCAGCTCAGCTTGTGCTTGAAGGAGAGATGCTCAAAAAATTCACCTGTTAGTAGCTACAAATGAGAAGCTCACCTAATCATCTAAGCCTGCAAAACAAATGAGGGTGATCCTTCACAAGGTCATCCCGAAGCTGCTTTACAACCCGTCTGCCTGCCTACGCATCTTCCTGCAACTACTGGTGAAGAATAACAGTCTCTCCTCTTGCCTTTCTCACTGACTCTACCCTAGGCCTCTAGGGGGAAAGGGATTCTGGGAAAATGGCTCCAGGTGTCTCTTCTGCATGACGGACGAGACCTTAGAAGGGGTGGTGATGATACTAACTTACAAACAGATACTATAGTGCAGCTATATTATGTATCACAGACTCCGTGAAAAACATTAGGGTACCAAAAATGCTTTTTCAAAAACTATATGGTAAAAGATGCATAACATGAAAATCATCATTTTTTAAAAAATGTTTATTTATTTATTTTTGAGAATGGGGAAGAGCAGAGAGAGGGAGAGAGAATCCTAAGCAGGCTCCACGCTCAGCACAGAACCCTACACAGAGCTCCATCCCATGGCCAGGAGCTCATGACCTGAGCCCAAACTAAGTGTCAGATGCTTAACCAACTGAGCCACCCAGGCACCATGAAAACTATCATTTTTAAGTGCACAACCATTCGGTGGCTAAGTACATTCACACTGTTGTGTAAAGACCACTAGTAACCACTTCCAGAACTTCTGCATCTTCCCAAACAGAAGCTCTATGCCATTAAACAATGTTATCTCTTCCTCCCTCTCCCGGCCCCTGGTCACTTCTAATCTGCTTTCTGCCTCTGCCTTTGACTATTTTAAGTACTTCATTTAAGTGGACTCTTACAAGATCGTCCTTGTGTGTCTGGTTTATTACACTTAGCATAATGTCATCAAGATTCTTCCATGTTGTAACATGTATCAGAATTTCCTTCCCTTTTAAGGCTACATAATGCACCGTTAATGTGTATCGGTACCACATTTTGCTTATCCACTCATCTGTCAATGGACACTTGGGGCTGTTTCCACTTTTTGACTGTTGTGAGTGACGGTGTATGAACATGGGCATACAGATACCTGCTCTAATTCCTGCTTTCAGTTCTTTTGGGTATATATCCAAAAGTGGGATTGCTGGATGGTATGGTAATTCTAACTACTCCTAACTTATACAAACTAAGTCTGAAAAAAAAAAAAAAAAAAGAGAGAGAGAGAGAATATAATTTCACCAAGGGATAGGAAATTTCAAACTGAGGCTATGGATGCGATCAAGGCGAGAGGCAAGTGGGGCTGTGATGTGGCTGGTAATGGAAATGGAGGAGAGGGGACCGATTCAGGGTACATTCAGGGGCAAAACTCAGGAGTTCAGGAATGTGTGGTTAAGTCTATGGTGTAGGCTAGTCGTCACACTAAGGTCTGGGCTCTCTGGCTTCCCCTCTTCAGAGGCCCTGGGGGTGGAGTAAACCTGTGCGAAGAATCCTCCTCTTGTTCGAATTCTTTGGGCCCAGGTGCCCCTAACCATCTCGTCTTCCCCCTGTCACATCTGAGTTCCCTGCAGTTCCAGGATTCTGTCATAAGTAGAGGCTGGGGGTGTCCTTAACTCTGTACGTGCTGGCTCTCCCCAGGCTGCCTGAGTAGCTGGTGGTGAAGCCGGCCAGAGCCGCTCAGTTCCGCCCGGCCCCTGGACGCTGTCCCCGTCTGGCTGGGGCACAGGGCCTTCTGGGCAGTTGAGTAAGAGCAGGGCCCTTAGTAGAGAGGCTCTTCTCTGCTGGTGGGCCAGCCCTCTGGTCAGTGGGACGGTTGAAGGTCACAGGGCTTGGGGAGAACCGGGTGAGGAGGTCAGCCTTACTCCACACTCTTCTGCTGGAGAGGCCTCCCCCCATACTATACTGGGGACTCATTAACCCTCTGGGTGCCAGGGAAGGGCAGAAGGTGAGCGCTGGGAGGCAGCTGAGGTCATCCTTCTTTGAACCTCCACGTGGTATTTACTCAGGGCAACTGTTGCCAGAGGCCCAGGCCTCTGGAGTATAAAGCTGAATGTCTGCTCTCTGTGCCCAGGACTGAGCAGGTGAGCAGCAGCCGGGTGGCGGGAGGGGGGTCAGAGTCCCAAGGGAGGGGACTGCAGAGGTCTCAGCAGAGAGCTGGGGGTGGAAGGCAAGGACCAAGGGCATCCTCTAGAAGCGCTTTGACTGGGTTGCTTCTTCCCCCTCAGAGCACTCAGCTTCCCAGCCATACGGTGGGAGTCAGGAAGGTGGATGACCAAGGGGGTGCGTGGTGGCAGAAGTGGCTGCTCCTGGGGGATGGGAGGGGGAGGGGGACCTTTACAAAGCAGTTCAAGCTCCACACTCCATACTGTGTGGCCCAGGTGATAAAGAAGCCCTCCTCCCTGCCCCCGCTTCCTCTCCCAGCCATGCTCACCTAGATCAGTCCTCGTCAGCCCCAACAGCCCTGTGCTCCACACACCCCACTGAAGGGTTAACAGATGGGGCAGGGTGCCCCTGGAGCAGGGTCCCTTGGTGCAAATCTGGGAGATGCCCCTTCCTTGGCTTCTTCACCCTAACCAGGCCTCCTTTCGTCTTCCTTCCGAGTAGACAATGGCAAGCATGACTGCCCTTCTGACCTGGGCTCTGGCTCTGCTCCCAGGTGGGTTTCCAGCCCCGACTTCAACGCGGAAGGGTGGGTGGAGGCTGGACTGACGGTCCCGTCCACCCAGTGGGGGGAGCATAGCCCCTAACTACTCCATCCCTGTCCACAGCGTTTGCAAGCGCCCAGACACAGAAAGGCTTCTGGGACTACTTCAGCCAGAGCAGCGGGGACAAAGGCAAGGCGGAGCAGGTCCAGCGGCAGAAGCTGGCATGGGAGCCCGCGTGAGTGGCTAGGACAAGGCGTGTGGGTGCAGGGAGGGGACCGCTGAGCTGTGCCGGCCGCCTCCGATTCCTAATCCCCTTTGTCCTCGTCGGCGCCGAGGAACTGAATTGTGCTAGGTTTTTTTTTTTTTTTTTTTTTTTAATGATTATTTATTTCTGAGAAAGAGGGAGAGTGAGTACAAGCAGGGGAGGGGCATAGAGAGAGGGAGATACCGAATCCAAATCAGGTTCCAGGCTCTGAGTTGTCAGCACAGAGCCCAATATGAAGCTCGAACCCACAAGCCAGCAGATCTTGAGCCAGCTGAAGTCGGATGCTCCTCAGATTGAGCCACCCGAGCGCCCCCGAATTGTGCTTTCATCCCATTCAGCCTTCCTGGGCTATGCAGCCCCCCTGCCCACTGGGGCGGTGGGACAGGAAGCTGCAGAGAGGACCCCACCATGTTCCCAGAATGAAAGGAATATGCGAGAGTCCGGGGGCATCTGTGTTTCCTGGGGCAGCTCTGGTCTGGGTGTGCATGTGCCGTGTGTTTGTACTTACGTGGTTGGTCCAGAGGTCGGACTAGAGCCACGGCCCTGCATCCTTGGTTTCCCCAGATGATCGGTGAGTGAGGTTTCCGCGGCGAAGGCGATGACGGGGCCAGAAGTCTGACGGCCTGGGTGTCTGTCCCCTTCCCCAGGAGCCTGAAAGACAGCCTTGAGCAAGACCTCAGCAATATAGACAAGTTCCTGGAAAAGCTGGGCCCTCTGCGTGGGCAGGCGAGGGAGCCTCCCGCGCTGCCCCGGGACGCGGTGGACGTGCGGCGGCGGCTGCAGGAGGAGCTGGCGGAGGTGAGGGCGCGCCTGGAGCCCTTCATGGCGGAGGCGCGCGAGCAAGTGGGCTGGAACCTGGAGGGCCTGCGGCGGCAGCTGAAGCCCTACGCCGCGGAGCTGATGGAGCAGGTGGCGCTGCGCGTGCACGAGCTGCAGGCGCAGCTGCGCGTGGTCGGGGAGGGCACCCAGGCCCAGCTGCGGGGCGGCGTGGACGAGGCGCGGGGCCTGCTGCGGGAGCTGCGGAGCCTCGTGGTGCACCACACCGGCCGCGTCCAGGCGCTCTTCCACCCCTATGCCGAGCGCCTGGTGAGCGGCATCGGGCGCCACGTGCAGGAGCTGCACCGCCGCGTGGCCGCGCACGCCGCCGCCAGCCCCGCGCGCCTCAGCCGCTGCGTGCAGACGCTCTCGCGCAAGCTCACGCTCAAGGCCGAGGCGCTGCGCGCGCGCATCCAGCAGAACCTGGACCAGCTGCGCGAAGAGCTCGGCGCCTTCGCCGGCGCCCGCGCCGATGATGGCGCGGTGGAGGCGATCAGCCGGGACCCTCAGGTGCTGTCCCAGGAAGTGCGCCAGCGGCTCCAGGCTTTCCGCCACGACACCTTCCTGCAGATCGCCGACTTCACCCGTGCCATTGACCGAGAGACCCAGGAGGTCCAGCTGCAGCTGGCGCCGCCCCCTCCGGGTCACAGTGCCTTCGCTCCAGAGTTTCTCCAAGCTGACAGTGGCAAGGCCCTGAGCAAGCTGCAGGCTCGTCTCGAAGACCTGTGGGAAGACATCAACTACAGCCTTCATGACCATGGTCTCGGCCATCAAGAGGAGCCCTGATGGTCTACGTGTCCAGGCCCACTTCCAGGCTTCGTGTTTGAGCCCAGGATCTGAGCCCACCCCCAGTCGTGGCCCAGCCCTTGACACTGGCCTGTTGGGCAGAGGGTGGAGGGCCCTGCACGGGATAGGCGTGGCCACCAAAGGGACTCTTGTCCCTGGAATATCCAGCCTCCTGGGATTCCCCCATCCGGATGCATTACATTCACCAGGCTTTGCAAACCCAGCTTCCCGTGTTCATTTGGGAATCCTCATAAGTTGCTCCATTCAGGGATGGTGGGAGTGGGGAGGGAGAGAGGCATTCTGTGTGCAGGTAACTATGTGCAAGCCTGTTGCCATGGTGCTGGAAGCCTGTGCCTCTTCTTCCTGGGACTTGACTCTGATCACTTCTGGCCACCTGGAGGCCGCTGCTACAGCTGGTCTACGGAGAGGAGCTCTTTTCTCTCCAGGGCTGCCATGACAGCTTCTATTGGGAGACGGGAAGGGAGAAGGGAGGAAAATATGATGAGATCATATGAAAGTGTGTGTATACCTCTGCTGGGTATGATGCTGGTGGGTACAGGTGGTGGGGGCTGTGATGGGAGGGAGCAGAGCCTGTATCCATCCATACATTACGTAGCTCTACATGGAAACACTGAACCAAACCCTCCAGACTGTGCGGGCATCTTTAACCCACGGGGAAGCCTACTCTGTGTCCTCTCCATCTGGGGCCCCTCACTTCTGACTCCCAGGCTGAAGCCTAGACTTCTGACTCAAATGAAATAGAGGCGTATGGTGGACGCATATTTGCCTGGTGTGATTCTTGTTTGGGTTGTGTCTGAAAGAGTGGCCTCACACGCATCACTCATTCCAGTCCCTCGTTGCTCTGTCTCAGGGACCCCCTACCAGTCCAGGTCTGGCAGAGGGCTCTAGCTTTGGCTAGGCTCTGCCTTAGATGACTGCTGTCTGTCATGCGTGGGTGTGGTCCTGGGTTACAGATCCTCCCCCGGCATCTGCATTGTTTGCTAACCTTATCACGAGATAGTGTGCATGAAGTGCAGGCTCCTGAGGTGGCCTGTCTCCCTTGCTTCTCCTGTTCCAGATTTTGAATGGCCTCTGTATGATGGACCTTTTCTTGGGACTTCCAAATCTTCAGCCACCATTCCCCGTATACAGGTTCACAGGGGCAACAATGATCCTCGTAGATCTCTCTGGGAACTGTGAAATTGGGGATGGGTGAAATGGAGGGGAAGAGGAGAGAGTAAATACACCCCATCTGGCACCTTTGGAAATGTCCTGTCCAGCACCTTTTCCTCCTGCTGCAGGCTGCCCGGCACAGAGTTCTCAGCACCCATATGAATTTGGCCTAATCATACCTGCAGGCTAGACCTCTTCCCTGACTTCCCTTCCTCTTCCCTGATTTAGCAACGACAGAACTGGATGAGAGTTGCCCAGGGAGAGGAGACACCGGAAAGGAGGGTTTGCCCAAAAAAAAAAAAAAAAAAAAAAAAAAAAGTGTCTTTGTTGTTGTTAGGAAACCAGGAGGGATGAATCAGCCTGGGTTTGATGTGTTGGGGATGAGGGGGTGGGAGTAGAAATGAGGGCTGTGTATTTGAGGTTGGAATTTGGGCAGGTGTTTATGACAGAAATAGGGAGTGAGAACAGAAGGGAAAAGAGTGATTGAGGGACTGAGGGAGGGGAATCTATAACCGAAGCAAATGTCTGGCCCAATAGTGGATCGGAGCCAGAGCCCAGGTGAGACCGCACCTCCTTGTGGGTTCAGGGCAAGCCAAGCCCCTTGCCATCAAGGCTCTTGTATTTATGGACAATAGTTAGAATCCTATAGGATGGGGCTATTGGGAAGGAGCAAAACCCAATGTCCTGGGTCTGAGAGGACGTCCTGCGGGGAAGCAATGCGTGAACTGAGGTGGAGGCAAAGCCTGAATCCAGCTGGCTTTGGAAGTCTGGACCATAAAATCCCAGCAATGCGGAAACCTTACCAGACACGGTTCCTTAGGGCCCAAAAGTCTGCGGCCTTTTTAAGAAAAGGCGGGGCGGCAGCGAGCGGAAGTGACGAGTGGGGTGGGGCCACGAAGGGAGCGGAAGCCGGAAGTGGAGGCCTGAGCTGCGCGTGGTGGAGATGGCGGCCAGCGGGGCCGTGGAGCCTGGGCCCCCGGCGGCTGCTGTCGCCCCCTCACCCGCCCGGGCCCAGGCTCCAGCCCCCGAGCACTTGTTCCGGCCAATCAGCGCCGAGGACGAGGAGCAGCAGCCCACCGAGATCGAGTCGCTGTGCATGAACTGTTACCGCAACGTGAGGCGGGGGCGCGGCCCCAGGCAGCGGGAGGTTGAGCTGAAGCGGGGGAGGGCGGGGGGTTTGGCGACCCTGTTGGGCCCCGTTGGGGACCCGGAGGCGAGGCACGCCCGGGAGTCGGTAGACGGGGAACTGGGGCTGCGTTGGTTCCTTCTAGCGGCTTTATGCTTTCTCAGGGCACGACGCGCCTCCTCCTCACCAAGATCCCCTTCTTCAGAGAAATCATCGTGAGCTCCTTTTCCTGTGAGCACTGTGGCTGGAGCAACACGGAGATCCATTCGGCAGGCAGGATCCAGGATCAGGGAGTGCGCTACGCTTTGACCGTCAGGACCCAGGAGGTGAGAGGACCCCAGAGCAGGTGCCCTAGTTAGTGTCTTAAGAGAAGGCTTGGGGACCGGAGTCGGAGCTCTGGTCTAGGTGGCGCGGCCGCGAATGAATACTCCTATGTGCCCAAGCCTCAGTTTCCCCCTTTGTAAAATGGTGTTGGTGCTGTCAGATGTTCGGGTCAGATGAGGCTTGTGAAAGTGCTTTGTCATTTTATTTTGTCCGCGGGAACGAAATGAGTAGTGGTTGTTATGAATAGTACTCAGTATTTGGGCAGCTGGGCTCTCGCACCTCCTGTTTGGTGGGAGGAGTCTGGACCCCCTGCCACCGAGAGAGGAAGAAGCTGCAGGGCTGGGGTCTAGTATTTCCTAAGAAACTGTACTGCTGGTCTGTCTGGACTGAAAGCTTTTCTTTCTGCCCAGGACATGAACAGAGAAGTGGTGAAAACGGACTCTGCCACCACCAGGATCCCGGAGCTGGATTTTGAAATTCCGGCCTTCAGTCAGAAGGGGGGTAGGTATAAGGTCAGGGTGGCTGGGCTGTTCACGCCCGGCTGCAGTCTTGCTTTCCTGCAAACACCCTGGTGCCGGGCCTGGTGGCTGGTGTATGGGTTTGGCCATGTTGTCGCTGCGGTCTTCACTGGTGCCGCATCAACTGAAAGCTCAGCTCAAACAGCTTGAGACAGTAGAGTGGGACAGTGCGACTGTGACGTGCATATTATAGAGTCTTAGCATCACGGTTGTCACACATGAACGGACCTTTGTTCCAGGCCTCCTCGCATTACGACTGAAATCAAAGCCCGGAGAGTTCAAGTGAATTGCTCAGAGTCCTACACGCACTGATAGCATCGGCCAGACTCACGTGTCTCTTGTTCTTATTCACCAGCCCTGACCACTGTCGAGGGATTGATCAACCGCGCTATCGCTGGCCTGGAGCAGGATCAGCCCACACGGAGGGTAAGCCGGGGCTTTCTGATGGGAGCAACACAAGGGATAACGACATATCTAGAGAGATGTCGGGACAGAGCGTGCAGCTTCCCGTGCACTGAACTGTCTCTGACTGGATGCAGGAGAACTTCTGGGGGGAGCACATGGTGATGCCGTAGCTGCCAGGATGTTGCCTGTGTTGGGTCTCCCATCCTTTCCACTTCCCTTTCCCCGGTGTAGAGTCAGACCTCGTCTCAGACAGGCAGTATGATACTACCTACCTCTGGAGAGCCTTTCCCGATCGCCTTGGATTTATCTCTACTTCCTGAGCGTTCCACTGTACTGTGTATTTATTATGACAGGAGTAATATAGTTGTATATTTAATCCGTTGTCTTCCTAACTGGCTGAGGAGCCCCCTGAGAGGACATATATACTGTTGTATGTACTGATATACATGAGAGGTTTATATACCATTGTATTTCTAACCTGGCATGAGAGCCTGGGCTGTGTGGTTGAATGAGTGAGAAATTGAAGCTGGTTCGGCTCAACCAAACTTATATGCTGTATCTTCTTGTGAAGTCTGAGTCTGGCTGTTCCCACTTATGTTAAGACGCGTGGTGACCTCCTGACGGAGGTGATGTGGGGTTCACAGGAAGTGGGGTCTGTCATCAGGGCTAATGCTTTTTACCATCTGTTCACGTCAGGCAAACGAAGAAGCCGTAGCAGAAAGAATCGACGAGTTCATCGTCAAACTGAAAGAGCTAAAGCAAGTGGCCTCTCCTTTCACTCTGGTGAGTACTGGGGAACTCTAGGTGCCCCAGATTCGGGGAAGGAGAGACCCTTAAGCCTGTCTGGGAGAGAGTTTCCCACTGATGCTGGAGAGGTCTAATGGTAGCTGAAGGACCAGATGTCATTTCTTGTTGTGTTGACTCCCTCTTCACCCATCTGTCAGATCATTGATGATCCCTCCGGGAACAGCTTTGTGGAAAACCCACACGCTCCCCAGAAAGATCATGCCCTGGTGATCACACACTATAACCGGACCGCACAGCAGGAAGAGCTGCTGGGGCTCCAGGTAAGTAGACCGAAGAGGCCGGAGGAATGGGCTGGCATTACCTTGCACTCTGGATTGCTTGGAATCAGTGCATCTTGCTTTGTGGTTGCCGCCCTGCATAGCCCGTCTCCACAGGCTGTGCATCTTCTCTAGCTCACGTCAAGACTCAGGATAAACTGTACAGTAAGGGTTGCTGGAGACTGTGATCCTATCTTAAGCTCTGTTCTTCCCTGCACTGGGGCTTTGCTTCCTGGTTTCTCTGTTAAACGCAGAAGGTGGCAGCCCAGAGTCTTTTCTGTCACCCCGAGGCAGGGTGTTGGGGACGCTGAGGTGTATGCACCAACGTGTGATCTGTATCTCTGCTACGCTAGGCTGAGGCACCAGAACAGGAGCCAGAAGAGGAAGATCTCAGAAACGAAGTGAGTGCCATGGGCTGCTGCGGAGGAAGGAGCAGATCTGTGGGCGGATACTCCTGCTCAGTCTCTCACCACCAACATGGGCGACTGCCGGCTCACCCACTGCATGATGTTTTTAGCCGGAGCTGGGCTCACCCTACACCCCCGTGTTGTGTTCCAGGTGCTGCAGTTCAACACAAACTGTCCAGAGTGCAATGCTCCGGCTCAGACCAACATGAAGCTAGTTCGTATCTTTGGTCGAGCAGTTGGGCTCATCTGCCTTGAGCGTGAAGACTATACAGGCTGGGGAGGGGTATTCCCTTCAGGGAGAGCACGCGCTTGATTCCAAGTGATGAGGAGGATGTCACCTTTGATGAGACTGTGCACCGTGGCTTTGGCGTTTAAAGAAAGAATGTGGCCCTGGTTTCTAGGGTCCTGTGTTTGGCCTGAGTCCCGTCTTCAAATATTTGTGAACAGGGTTGCCATGGGTTGCGACCATGCCCTCTTCTGTAGAACTGAGTCAGGCTGCTGCTTGTGGTCTGTTTATTTTCTGTAGTCCTAGGACTAGAAGCTGTGGTTAGGGTTCGGCTTTGTTCTTCCCCAGAAGATGCCCTTGCTCTCCTGGAAGCAGATTTCCTTAACTCCCATCTTCCAGAAATCCCCCACTTTAAGGAGGTTATCATCATGGCAACCAACTGTGACAGCTGTGGCCATCGGACCAATGAGGTAACCCCTGTTTAACTTCGATCTGTCCTAAATCTGCTCTGGGATGAGGTGCGAGGAAGCTGGGTCTTTCTTTTCGATTTTGGGCAGGGTGAGGCACCCTTGAAGGAACTGAACTGGGAATTAGTGAAGAAAAAGCTAAAGATACTGTAACTCATTTAAGACATTAAAGATTGGTTATACTTAAAGATTGGTTATACGGAAGATAGGGGTGTACGCTTGCTCACTTGCTGTCTCTTTTTTTTTTTTTTGAGAGACTTTTTTTTTTTTTAAATGTTTTATTTATTTCTAGGAGAGAGAGAGAGAGCGTGAGCAGGGGAGGGTCAGAGAGAGAGGGAGTCACAGACTGAAACAGGCTCCAGGCTCTGAGCTGGCAGTCAGCACAGAGCCCGACGCGGGGCTCGAACCCACGAACCGCGAGATCATGACCTAAGCGAAAGTCGGACGCTTAACTGACTGAGCCACCCAGGCGCCCCGAGAGACCCTTTTTTTGACCCACCTCTTAAAGGGTTGGAAGTGCAGGGAAGCACATTTTGACTCCATAATAAACAGTTTTCTAGATCTCTCTGAAAATAGAATTGGCTGCTTTGGAGGGTTGTACATTACCTTCCCCTGAGTGTATTCAAGCAATAAGCTGTTTAAATTCTTACTTTTCTTTAAACTATTTAAATTCTGAACCCGGAATATTATAAGGTACATCCACATGGTGGATGCAGTTGAGAGTCCTTTTCATCCTCAAGAGTCAGTTTGTTTTAAAAGGTAAATTTAGAGTTTGTTGGCAGTTTGGGGTAAGTTTTGGCAGGCTCCTGGCCGGCTCTTGGTGTTCGGTTTGGGTGCCTTCTGTCCCTCCTGGTTTAGAAGGCTCTGTCCTTGGTGGCTGCTAGTGGCCTGATCGGAGAGCTAAACTTTACCCCGCTCTGAGGTCTCCCGGGTCCCAGGGGAGGACCCCATCTTCTCTGCTGCTGTTCCTGACGACTGTTGCCTGTGCAGGTGAAATCTGGAGGCGCCATAGAACCCTTGGGCACCAGGATCACCTTCCACATCACACAACCCTCAGATTTGACCAGAGACGTGCTCAAGGTAACATCCTGCTTAGGAAAGCGTCTGTCTGCCCTGCATGGGTGTCTCTATCTAGGGGAAATTGTCGCATTTTTAAAATTATGTTCTGGGATCGTGTGGTACCATCTAACTTCCCTTGGTTTCAGGATCCCTAAGCAGAGTTAATCCATGCCAGGAAGTACAGATTCAGAAGGTGAAATCCATAAACTCTCTGATGACTTGACAGTTTTTTGTCTCCAGTGTCTGTAAGGGCCTTTGTGTCTGATCTCTAATGACAGCATACCTGGCAGCTTGGGGCCATGACTCAGAATGTCACTTTATTAGACTGGCTCCATTTCTGTGGTTCACACGGAGAGGCATGAGCCTGGCTTTAACAGGAGCGTCGGCGAGAACTGGGGCAGCTCTTTCCCCAGACTGTCCGTGGCGGTATTAATTTGGCAGGACGACTCTGGTTAGCCTTTTCTAAGGGCCTCCTGTTCTGAAGCCTAATTTGACCTCTCCTCTCCCAGTCTGAGACATGTAGTGTGGAAATCCCAGAGCTGGAATTTGAACTGGGAATGGCCGTCCTCGGGGGCAAGTTCACCACACTGGAGGGGCTCCTGAAAGACATCCGGGAACTGGTGAGTCCCCTGAGTACAGTGGACGGCCGCTTCAGCTCTGTGGCTTGGGGGGGGGGGCTAGAAGGCCGCACACGTCCTGGTGTTTGGAGCTCTTAACTGGGGGTTTCTTTGCCCTAAAGCAGATTTTAAGAGACTTAAATATTAGTTTGGAGTGTGAAGATAAGGTGATGGGAATTCTGAATGGAGACTCCCAGGCTTCTCTCTGGGACCGTGTAGCTATTTTGTGGTTTGGGGTAGGTCGCTCATTTCAACGTAAAATGCGGGGAGGTGGGTCCTTCCAGCACCTGAAACTCCCCAACACGTATAGGCATGTGTGTTGACTTAGCCCGTTTATTCTCTTGAATCATTGTACTTACCTGATTCCCAGTGGTCAGGCATTTTGTCTTCGTAGACTGTACTTTGCATATCTTCTTCAAACTAGAACGAGAGTTCATGCGGGAGGAACACCTTATGGTTCACTGCCAGTTGTCATCTTGGCAGGTTAATCTCTGTGCCCTGAGCAGCGGCTGCCCAGGGCACAATGCTGGTGTTCTAGGCCCTGTCCTGCCATTCCCCACCAGCTCAGGGGTCACACCGGGTATTCTAGCAGTTCGGATGCCGTGTATTGCAGGTGACCAAGAACCCCTTCACACTGGGGGACAGTTCCAATCCTGGCCGGATGGAGAAGCTGCAGGAGTTTAGCCAGAAGTTAGACCAGGTGAGATGACTCTGGCCCTTCCGTCCTTGTGGGCCCGGGGGGGGCTGCCGGTGGGCAGGAGGCCACATCCCTGTCCTGCCTCCTCCTAAACATCCAACCAACTTGTTGGGGGGGGGTCTCCTGGTTTCCGACAGGCCGTGTCTTCTTCTTTCTCGGGTGTTCTCCCTTGTTTCGTTGGAGCGCTCTAGTAGCTGCAGTTGGGTTTTTCATTCACACTACTTTTCCAAGTGGTTGTTTTGTTTTGGTCTTTGAATACTCTCCCTCCTCCCTCCTCCCTTCTCTGAGTAGTATCCTGTTGTTTTAAGAATGGAGTGTTTTTTTTTTTTTTCTCTTGAGAATGTTCATGCTGGTTTGTCTTGTTTTGATGTTTTATTTTTTCTTGCATAGTTTCCATTTCCTCTTAAGTTTTTTTTCCCCCTTGACTTTTTGTTTTCCAAGGTTGGGGGCTTTGCTCAGGTATAGTCCTTGTCAGCTTAAAAGTAGAGGGCTGAAACACCGGCGTGGAGGTGAATCTCACTCACCTTGGGCTCCTTGGAGAGGGAGTTAGCTTAGCCCTTTGTTGAGCTGAAACCCCAGTGCCAGCGTCGTTAGGTTTTCCCTCGGGCTGCTCACCCCATCAGCGGGTGTGCCATTTCCTGGCCAGAGGAGGGCCACTTGGCTGCCAGTGTTCTGAGAGCTGAGTGTGGGAAGAGGGCTTGGTATGTATCTCTCCTAATAACAGCCTGTTCTTAATCTTCTGGTCTTGCTTGCTGTGCCTCCACCCCTCAACTAGGCCAGCGCCCCCTAGGCCATAGCATAAATCCTGCAGTTTTCTGCTGGGGTGGGGAAAGGGCAGTTGTTGGCCTGTGTAGAATGGGAGATGAGGTCCGGGATGTCACCATTGCTTCTTAAGTAACTTGCATACAGTCTTTCTTTTAGGTCTTCTCCACTCCACTTCGAGAGGTACCTCATTTCAGCAGTTTCTAAAATTTTGGGGGATTCTGCCACATAAATTGGGTTGGTTCTTGTCTGGTAGACCAGCCCCTTCCTACCCGGAGTGATGTAAAATTTATGTGCTGTATTCTGTTTTGTTTAGATCCTTGAGGGTAACATGAAGGCCCACTTGATTATGAATGATCCAGCAGGAAACAGCTACTTGCAGGTACGGTCAGCCTTCCCTGATAGTTCATCTATTTTCTGACCTTCCCTGAATATGTATTATTTCTCCAGAAGCTGGAGACTTGATTCTAAATGAACTGCTCTTTATCAAGGAACCTCTTAGAATTTGAGACCTAAGGAAGTGAGGGCAGGCAGGAGGGGCTATAAGTGTATGTCAAAGGGTGGGGGAGGGAGGAAGATACCTCTAAGCTCCTTCTTTCTCTAGTTCAGGTCTTGTCCCTAGCGATGGAGTTGTGTGGAGTGAGGAGAAGTGCTGCCTCGTCCAGAGGCTGAAATAGGAAACCTGAGAGGCTTTGAACTGACTGGAGAGAGATTCTGGTGATTTATAATCACTTTAACATTTACCGAGCAGTTATTACTGGTCAGGCAGAACTGTTTAAGGTCTCTCTGATTAAGAGTGTTGTGGTACTCTTCATAAGAAGGTGCAGATAGGTTTTTTAGACTGTTTTGTAAATTTGCCTCAGGCTGGACAGACCCGTTCTTGGGACTCTGTTGGGTTCTGTTGCTGCTCGCTAGTGTTGGGTTCTGTTGCTGCTCGCTAGTTGAGCCCAGCTATGGGGAATTGGAGGCCTTTAGAATAAAAAACTGCTTCTTAAGTTTTCTGGAAGGTGGGAGTTGGAAGCTACCCGGTGTGGGGAGGGGGCAGATAGCTGGGTGGCACAGGCACTGATTGTCTGTCCTTGGCCTTGCAGAATGTGTATGCACCCGAAGACGATCCTGAGATGAAGGTGGAGCATTATAAGCGCACATTTGACCAAAACGAGGAGCTAGGGCTCAATGACATGAAGACAGAGGGCTATGAGACAGGCCTGGCCCCACAGCGGTAGTACTGGATGGTTCCCGAGCCAGCCTCCAGTGCTGCTCCGACCGAGGGGTTATTTATTAGTATCGGGAAAGGCTGGGGGTGTCCTCCTCACCAGGCCTTGCCTGTGCCGGCGGGGAGGACACCTGGTGTGAGTCAGAGATGTGGGCAGTCTGTGAACAGTTTGTGACAGAAGTGCAAGCCAACTGTTGGACCGTATTTTGGAGGTTGTGAGTGGCCTGGGAAGAAACCCAGAAATGAACCATGGGGCATGTCGTCAATGCTTTTTTTCCTATCAGGTCTTTCCCCTCCCTCCACATAATATGCGCGCTGCGGTTGGAGCTCTGAAGATGGAAGACCGCGGTATCTGGAGTTTGGGAGTCGGTTGGGGAGTAGAACATACTGGCTTTCAACGGGAATAGAGTCTTCTGAGGGGAGGGAGTCAGCACGGGAGAAGTTCTCATTAAAGTGATGGCTTTCCAACAGGACTGGCCTCTGAATTCACTCTGTCCTTGTTTGATACGATGCAGGTAGAATTCAATTTCCTGAAGAAAATTTTTCCCCAGTGCAGCCAGTTTGGGGATTGGAGCTGGCATTTCATTCATTCCTTCAGTAGATGTTGGAGTGCTTACCTTGTGCCAGGCATACCACAGAACTGAACAAAATAAAGCCCTGCAGTCATGGGGCTTAAAGTGGACTTTTAAGGTCAAGTCTGTAATTCTTGCTTGTTTTATCAGATGGAGCTAATAAAACTAGAGGACAAAGCTCAGACAGTGCCACTGGGCATAAATTTGATCCTGCTCATCTGCCTTGTGGGGTAGGCAGGGTTGGGATCTGAGCTTGGGGCTGGTCAGGCAAAGTGAGTCGGAAAGGGAGGGGTAGAACTGGAGACTGGGGCAGGAGAGGAGTTGATGGGGAGGAGAGAGCTATACTGGTAATGTTTGCTGGAGCAGAAGGAGGAAGCATCCAGATGCCTGCCGACAGCAGGGCAGAGGCAGGGCTTTGGCGTTCAGTTTGAGATCCACCAAAGTGGGCTAGCAGCCAGCACAGGGCTGTGTCTGGGGTGACCCATGGGACCCTCCAGCTACTGAAGTCCTGAATCAGTCCAGTGTCCCCCTGCCACAAGCCCTCGGGGACACAGTCCTGAGCGGGACCTCTCAGGATAAGCCAGTGGCTAAAAGTTTATGCATGTACCTGTTTTTAATATGTGTAAGTATTTTTTGAACATGTAGCCTAAATTCTTGAGTATTTATAATGTATAATAAGCCTTCTTGACTAATATACTGTCACAAATTGACAAACATTTAACATGAGGTCAGGAAAATACACGATCTAACATTTTATTTCAAGAACTTTGGATTTACCTCTTGCATCTTACTTCGGTAGCCTCTGCTCCCAAGGGTTATGTTTTGGCTGTGTGAAGTTAGGGCAACTTCCTTGACCTCTCCACGCTTGTTTTCTCGTTTGTGAAACAAACTTCAGAATTCGAATGCAGCCTCTCTAGCTTCCCTGGTTTGCTATGCTGAAAGTTGAAACATCCTTTTCGGAAAGATTCTAGGCAAGAATTAGCCAGGGGCCACCTGTGGTATCAAACATGGGGAAGTTCACAGGTTGGAAACCTCCCTATTTTTAAATAGTAATTACACTGGGTTTGGAATTCCTGACTTCCTCTCTTGAATGGTAGAAGCCTGTAAGAGCAGTCTCTGTCTCCCCCGGCCCCGACCTAAATCTATACTAATATAAATTAGTAACACTGTGCGCTAGACACTTTTCTAAAAACTTCACACAGTTATTGTATCTCATTCCTCCCAACCATGCAGTTAGGTGACATTCTCCCCATTTTGTTAAATGACTTGCTCAAGGTCCTACAGCTAGGAAGTTAATGGAGCCCCAACTCCGATACACTGCCCCTCCAGGGCCCCTGTCCTTGACAATGGTGCATCTTAAGCTGCCTGGGGCAGAGATCTTGTTTGGGTCGTGGTTGTGGCCTGGTGCTGGTGCACAACCTGTTGAAAGGACAGATGGACGCACGGAAAACCATGGTTGCGCCGGCAGAGGGACGCGCTGAGCACGCTCGCGCGTCAGCCCAGGCAGCGCTGACCGCTCTTCACCACTTCCGGTCCCGGCCACGCCTCCTCAAGGACGCTCCGTGCGTTTCGCGTTCAAGAAGTTTGTCCCAAGCGCGGAGCCGTCTCCCCGCCCCCGCCGCTGCCATGGCGGCAGCTCCGCCGGTCTCCAAGGCCGAGTACCTGAAGCGTTATTTGTCTGGGGCAGGTGCCGGCGTCGATGGGGGCCCTGATTCGGGTCGCAAGCGTCGCAGAAAGCGGCCGAAGCCTGGCGGGGCCGGCGGAAAGGGGTGAGTTGGTTCCGGCGGGGTGGGGCCTGCGGCGGCTCGCCGCCCCTCTCCCCAACTCCGCCCTGGGCCAGCGCTTCCCCCTCTCCCGGCCGCCCGTCCCGCTCCCCGCAGGGCTCGTCCGGCCGGAACCCGGAGCCCAGCTCAGGCGCCCCGCGCGCCCCTGGGCGCTGTCTTCGACGTCTCCAGCCCGGCTGAAACTTTCATCCCTCTTTTCCCGCTCTTGTAGCATTCCGTCCACTCCAATAAAGAATGAGTATCTCGTCCTGAGAATAATGGTGGAGCTCGCCCAAAGCCTCCCTGTTTGGATATTTAGGGCCCCGAACCTGTCTGTGGGGTTCAGCGATCCCAGGGACTCCGGTTCTGAGTGAGAGACCTATGCTTACTTCCTGTTAGTCTTCATAGTGATGCTACTAACAGTTCTTGTCATGCACCAGATGCAGTTCTAAGTACTTTAGACGTAAATGAATTTATTTAAGCTTCATGAACCTACCACGAAGTTGGTATTCTTATTATCCCCGTTTTTCAAATGAGAAAACTTTGTAGCCCACGGTTCTGCGTTGAATAGTGCCTTTCCCCTTTTCACATCCACCCAGAACCGCAGAATGTGATTTCTTTGGAAGTAGTGTTTTTGCAGATGTATTTCGTTAAGATGGGGTCATGGTGGATTAGGATGGGCGCCTAGTCCAATATGACTGGTGTCCTTTTAGGAAGAGGGAAATTTGGACGTTAGGGGGAAACATAGGGGAAGTACAGCCATGTGAAGATGGAGGCTGAGATTGGACTGGATATACACTGCCACTAGCCAGAGTATGCCTGGGGCTATCAGAAGTCCAGAAATGTCGCTTAGAGCCTTCCCAGTGGTCATTGCCTTGCAGACACCTCGACTTCAGACTTCAAGCCTCCAGAACTGTGAGAGAATAGTTTCTGTTGTTTTGAGCCACCCACCTTGTAGTACTTTGTTAGGCAGCCCTAGGGAACTAATATGCCCAGTTCCAAAGAACAAATCCATTTCCTTTCCTGATTTGGTTCCTGCCCATTCTTGCTGTCTTCCTACCCTTCTGACGTGTGGATGCTTTGGAGGCAATGCCATGCAGTGAAACTAGCTTGAGCTTTCAAGTAACAACACCGAGTTTGAGTCCTAGTTGTGCCACTTTGTGGGCTGTGTGGCTGTGGGCAGGACATTCATCTCTCTAAGCCTGTTTCCTCATCTTTAAAATAGAGTAATAATTGGGGCACCTGGGTGGCGTGGTTAAGTGTCCGACTTCAGCTCAGGTCACGATCTCACGGTTCGTGGTTTCAGGCTGCTCATCAGGCTCGCTGCTGTTGGCCTGTCAGCAAAGAGCCTGCTTCAGATCCTCTGTCCTCTCTCTGTCCCTCTCCCGCTTGTGCTCTCCCAATAGATAGATAGACAGATAGAAATAATGATAGGTTTTTATGGTTATGATTAGAGATGTATAAAGTAGGGGCACCTGGGTAGCTCAGTCAGTTAAGTGGCTCAGGTCATGATCTCACAGTTGTGAGTTCGAGCCTTGCGTCGGGCTCTGTGCTGACAGCTCAGAGCCTGGAGCCTGCTTCAGTCTCTCTCTGCCCCTCCTCTGCTTGCTCTCTCTCCCCCCACCCCTCAAAAATAAATAAACATTAAAAAAACTTAGAGATGTGTGAAGTAATATTGGCTTTTCAAATAGAACTGTTCACATCCTGGCAGTCATTGTTAATTATTTGGACTCATCTATAGTTTGTATGACAAACATTTATTCAGTATTATTTCCTATGCTAGTTACTTCAGGGTGTTGAGGATATCACTGTGAATGAGAAGGCCTAGTCCCTCTTCTGGTGGACCTTATTGTTTAATGGGGATACAGGCTTTCAACATCTAATTACACAACTAATTGACTTATTTTCTTTGTAATTAATGCAGTGAAAGTATTCCAAGGATGTGTAACATAGATTCTTAGTTGAGTGAAATAAGGGGAGAAGTCAAGGAAGGTATGCGCTAGGATGGGCACCTGGGTGGCTTAGTCGGTTAAGCGTCCGACTTTCGCTTAGGTCATGATCTCGCGGTTCGTGGGTTCGAGCCCCGCGTCGGGCTCTGTGCTGACTGCCATCTCAGAGCCTGGAGCCTTTTTCAGAGTCTGTGTCTCCCTCTCTCTCTGACCCTCCCCTGCTCACGCTGTCTCTCTCTCTCTCTCCTAGAAATAAATAAAAGTATTTTAAAAAAATGTATGCTAGGATCTTAAGAGTGCGTGAGAGTTTCCCAGTAAAAAATGAGATGAGTAGGTCAGGCAGAGGGAAGGAACAGCATATGTGAAAACTGATGTGGTAAGGACTTCAGCTCATTCCAGGTACCAGAAGATGACTAGCAAGGTAGCGAACTTGGAGGCAGTGGTACCAGATGAAGTGGGCCATATAGGCAAAGGCTGGACCCTGAAGAATCTTGTAGGGTTTTGAGCTTTATCCTACAATCCATAGTGTTTGTAGGCTGTTATCCAAGATTGATTCTTCCTTTTTGATCTTTTTATTTTTTCACATTTAGAATGCGGATTGTGGATGATGATGTGAGCTGGACATGTATCTCCACCACTAAACCGGAAAAGGAGGAAGAGGAAGATGATGGAGATTTGCCTGTGGTATTTATCTTTGGAGTCTGTGAGGACTTTTAAATGCAAGCCTGTCTCTCAATCTCAATTCCCGGTACAGGGTGGATTTATAAGGTGGAATGTTGAGGGCAGAGAAGGGGTGATGCTTTTCAGAGAGCTGGATTTTTTTTTGTTTTGTTTAGTTTTTTAGGTTTACTTATTTTGAGACAGTGAGAGAACACAGGAAGGGCAGAGAGAGGGGGATAGGGAAAGAATCCCATGCAGACTCTACACCATCAGCGCGGAGCCTGATGTGGGGCTCAAACCCACGTACTGTGAGATCATGACCTGAGCTGAAGTCAGGAGTCAAACACTTAAGTGACTGAGCCCCTTGGTGCCCCTAAAAGATACTTTAAAGTGGTCTTCTTTGATGATGCCCGTACACTGTTTTCGTTGTTTATGGAGGGCCCTGTTAGCCTAGAAATGGGAACTAATCCCAGAGTGGCAGAATTTCTCAGCATCAACAATAGAATATATTTACAATCAGCCATGGTTCAATTTATTGGAATGTACCTTGCAAACAATGTTCAGGTTCAGTTTACAGGAAACTTATTTGCTCCTTTTTTTCATTGATTCAGTGAAGTTTAAAATTGTACGCTTTTGTCTAAGTATTGTAGATATGTAGGTTAATAAAACCTAGTGTCTGTACTTCAGAGATGATACCCTAGACGGGAGACAGAATTTCAGATAATTTCAACAATGTGATAAATGGTGGAGAGACATTTCAGTTATGTACCAAGTGCTTTTAGAGCACAGGGGAAGTGGCACATTTTTTTATTCCCCTGGGAAATTCTGTGAAGGCAGTAAACATCCAAACTGAGTTTTGAAGGATGAGTAAGAACCAAGTGGGCAAAAGGATAGGCAAATAGTCTTAACATTGGTGCCATCGTGGAAACTTTGCTGAGGAACCAGGAGAAAAGGGGAGCTGTTGTTAAGCTGTCATGCAGTAAAAAGTTGTAAAAATGAATACCTGATGGGTATTTTGAATGTTAATGTCCAGCATGTTCTATAGTACATCACCTAAAAGAAAATTTGTTAGTGATTAAAAGGGAAATAGTGCAGTGCCTGGCTGGCTCAGATGATGGAGCGAGTGGCTTTTGATCTCGGGGTTGTGAGTTTGAGCCCCATGTTGGGTGTAGAAATTACTTTAAAAACAAAAGAAAAGGAAGAGGGAAGTAGTGATCATAAGTGGCCAATTTAGTTTCATTCAGAACCAGGCACATAATTAATGTTTACAATGTTTTTTTTAATATTATAAAAGCAATACATATTTTTAAAAAATGTTTATTTTTAAGTAATGTCTACATCCAATGCGAAGCTCAAACTCACAACCCCAAGATCAAGAGTCACATGCTCTACTGACTGAGCCATCTAGGCACCCCAAAAGCAATACATATTTAGTGTAGAATATTTGGGAATTATAAGAATGTTTAAAATTTCAAAAAAAATGTAATACAGCACTTATACTGTGACTATCAAAAGATAGCAACTGCTCACACTTGGATGCCTGTCTCTTTAATTCATAGATGATACAGACTTCTGTTTTCTTTATTTTTTAAAATATAATTGGGATCATACTGAATTCTGGTTTTGGAGCCTGCTCTTTCATTTAATAATATGTTGTGAATACTTTAGTAAGATTTTTAAAATATTTTTTGAGAACGTGACTTTTCATGGTTGCAGTAGTAGTTCATTGTATATATTAATTTAACCTGTCCTCTTACTGGACATGTGGGTTGTTTTCTGTTTTGAAATACAGTGCTTTGAGAAACCTTTTGTACATAAAGCGTTGTAGAAATCTGTTTATTTGTTTATCCCCACCAAGTGGAATTACTAGGTTAGAAAGTATTGAGTTGTATTCCCATATTGCTTTCCAAAAGGTAGTACCAGTGTACACTCCCCTACGGTTGTTTGAGAAAGCCATTTTCCCCATTTCTCCATCAATACTGAGCATTATTTTTAACAACAGAAGTAACAGTGAACTTATGCCAGTTTGTAGGTGAACAATGGTATCGTTTCTTTGAGAAACAGTGAAGTGAATACTTTTTTCATATGTTTATAGGGCATTTGTATTTTATTAATTTTTTTGGTATTTTTTCCATTGTTTAGAAAATTGGACTTTAAAATTTTTTTTAATGTTTTATTTATTTCTGAGAGAGAGAGAGACAGCGTGAGCAGGGGAGGGTCAGAGAGAGAGAGAGAGAGAGAGACACAGAATCTGAAACAGGCTCCAGGCTCTGAGCTAGCTGTCAGCACAGAGCCAGACACGAACCGTGAGATCATGGCCTGAGCCAAAGTCGGACGCTTAACTGACTGAGCCACCCAGGCGCCCCTGGACTTTAAATTTTTTTCACTGATTTGATATTTATATAATAGAATATATTACCTGTTTTACCTGTTATAGGTATATTTTATTATTTGCTTTTCATTTATAGTAGTTTTTTAAAATTTAAAAATTTTAATTTCTGTCTAGTCAAGTCTGTTAATTTTCCTTTATGATATTGTCTTTTTTTCTATGATTGCCTGAAAACCTGAACGAGGGAGGCTTTAGCTCCACTGCTCTCTACGTTGGTTTAAGTAGATCTCGATTACTGAATTCATTTTTGTTACTGCAAGACCATCAGCACCAGTAATAATGGCGAAACAATTAGGACAAGCACAATAGCGGTGGCAGCCCAAGAATAATAGGTGTGATTTATTGAGCATTTACCATGTCCCTTGCTGCTTAGCTTACATGAGTTAGCTTCCCGAATCCTCGTAGCACTCCTTTGAGTCCTACTTTCACAAATGAGGAAACCGACACTTAGAGAAAATAACTTGCCGCTGCATACATCTTCAGTGGTGGAGCTGGAGACTGAGATCTCAGTTCATCTTGCTTGAATTCAAGCCCATGCTTTTATTACCTGGGGAGAGATCTCAAAACCAGGTTACGTGAGGAATGATGATAGGATCTTGGGAGCAGAGAAATAGAGGTGAATTATGACCTGGGTTTGGATTTCAGTTCTGCCACTTGCTGGCTTGTGACATTGAGAAATTTAACTTCTCTGAGTCTTAGTTTGTTCTTTATTAGTGTGGAACCTTTCTTTGCAGGACTGTTGTGAGGATTGAGTAAGGTAATATAAGTAAAGTCCAAACACGGTTTTGGACTGTACCTGTAACTAGAATTTATTACGCCAGCCATCTTTGAAAGCCTCTTTTGTGGAAGGGGCACTAGTTGCATCAGGGACAGAGCTAGGCTTAACGGAAGGAAGTTACGGGAAAGTAGGTTCAGGTCCAATAAGACTAAGGACTTTCTAGCACTGTCCCCAAATACAGTGGACTGTGTTGTAATGTAGTGAGTTCCCTGTTTGTAAATTAATTGATTCCCTGTCAGGAACTGGGTGAGTGATCATTTACCAAGGATATGAGAATATTTCAGATTTGTTTGGGAATTTTGATGATCTGAAATGTGTTTTTATCCCTGAAAGATTCTGTGATTCCGTTTACTTCTTAATGATTTCTTTCGGTTGGATTTAAGAAAACCCATTGTCATTGTGACTACCTCCGACAACAAAGGCTTCACAAGGAGCCCGAAGCCCTTGACGAGTGATAGGCACGCCAGGGAGCCGGCCTGTGTTGTCACTCTGGATATAACATACAAGTAGAAGGGTGAAAGGAATTTCGCTTTTAGCATCCCCGGGGCAGTTGTGTACCTGACAGGTTGATAAAGAAGATTTGTGATGAAGAAGTTCATCCTTTGGAGGAAAATTGGTTAGTCAGAGAAAGATGTATAATTCAACTGTCCAGTGACAATCAGATAAACATCTCATAGGGCAAACGTAACTGAGGACCACTACATGTTTCTACACGTTTCTTCGTGGCTGTTTGGGACTCGTGTGTGCCATGTACATTAGGAATGGGAATGGTGATAGCTTCAGGTCCTTGAAACACTAGTGCTCCTTGACTGGATCCTGTGCATGTTCTCAACCTAAGTTGTCCTAACTCTGACAGGTGGCTGAGTTTGTGGATGAGCGGCCGGAAGAGGTAAAGCAGATGGAAGCCTTTCGTTCCAGTGCCAAATGGAAGCTTCTAGGAGGTTAGTTTCAACAATAGATAAATCTAAATTTCCCATTTATAGGGGAAGCCTTTTTGTCTTCTCTACATTTTTCTTTCTTTTTAAAAAATTAAAAAAAAAATTTTTTTTTTTAATGTTTTATTTATTTCCAGGAGAGAGAGAGAGAGACAGCGTGAGCAGGGGAGGGTCAGAGAGAGAGGGAGTCACAGACTCTGAAACAGGCTCCAGGCTCTGAGATGGCAGTCAGCACAGAGCCCGACGTGGGGCTCGAACCCACGAACCGCGAGATCATGACCTAAGCGAAAGTCGGACGCTTCACCGACTAAGCCACCCAGGCGCCCCTAAAAATTTTTTTTTAATGTTTTATTTATTTCTGAGAGAGAGAGAGAGAGA